CTCTAGCACTTTGTTACTTCCTTTTCTCATGTGGTCTTCATTTACCATGGTCTCCTATTCCTTGTTCTCCCTCTCTGTTCTTGATCCAGCTGGGATCTCCCACTCCCATAGGCTCTCTTTCCCTCGACTCTCACCCTTCATTACTCCCACTCTTGTCCAGGTTGTTCATGTAGATCTCAGCCATTTCTCCATCATTGGGCGATCCTCGTGTCTTTCTTGGGCTCCTGTTTTCCAGGTAGCCTCCCTGGTGATGTGAGTAGCAGTCCAGTCATCCTTGTTCCACATCTACTATCCTCCTATGAGTGAGTACATACCATATTTGTCTTTCTGAGTCTGAGTTAGCTCATTCAGGATGATATTTTCTAGATCCATCCATTTGCCTGCAAACCTCATGATGTCATTGTTTTTCTCTGCTGAGTAGTATTCCATTGTGTATATGTGCCACAATTTATTCTTTATACTAGTATTTGCATCTCTATCAGACACTGGCTGTGATAAGTGCTTCTACACATGAACTTAGGACATGAACAAACAACAAATGGCTGTGAGGAATTTTAAGCCAAAGAAATTAATGCATAAAATAAAAAAAAAAAACTTTCTCAAAATCAGGTGATTTCTTAGCCATCTCCTCTGTCCCATGGCATAATATTTTTAAATTAAAATTAATGAAGCATCATACGTTGTGTTTCAATAAATGCAATACATACTCCTCATGACCAATTACCTTAGACCATTAGGAAAGAACAAAAGCACTTCCTATCTATTTCATGGGCAGCTACAAAGCCCAAGACACATTTCAATTGCAGTAGTGTTCAAATATGGAGAGTCTTTACTTGAAATGATTCAGAAAATATTTACTCAATGCTCATTAAAGGCTAATACCTTTAACAAGAACTGCAGATACAACAAAGCAAATTTCAAAATCTGCCTTCGAGGATCTGGTATTCTACATAACCCAGATTCATATTCATAAGCATACAAAGAGAAGCACAGAAGAAATTTAAAAAATCCTAACTTTATCTCCTATAAGTAGCTCCAAGTCATTTGATATATAACTAAAGGTGTGTTTTGCCTTTATAATCTCAAAATATCTTATAAAATTCATCAAAATGGGAATTATTTCTTCATAGGCATGTCAGAATGATTTTTGTCTACCTTGACTGTCTAAGACAAGAACCTTAATTTATCTAACCTTCTGTGACTCTGGGAGAAGATCCATCTCCTCCATTCACCCCTACCTGGTCTATGAATGGATAAAAATTAGATTCCAGAACAGTTTTTAACTTGGAAGAGAGTTGTCATAAACCCACAGAGGAGTGAGTTTAATTTCAGAGCTGAGATGCTCCTGCCTAGCATTTAGAGATGGGGAGCCTGACTGCTGTGTTTGAATAGCCCTCCTGTCACACTCTACCCAGCAACTCTCCAACTCAGGGGTAGTTTATATTCCTCCTCTCCAGAAGCCCATCATTCCCTGCAAACCCAAGTCTCTTCAGAAGTACCACATATCACCCAGAAAAATAAAGACTGCAGATTTCAACACCATAAAGAGAACATATAAGCTATCTAGCCAAAAGGAAAATTAGCAAAGGAAGACACAGAAGTATCATGACAAAGAGATTCCCCCCAAAAAGCAGTGTATTAATTATAGAAGGATTGAGAAAAATGAAATTTCTAAAATGGATTGCACAAACAAGTTGAATATTTGGTACATGACTTAAAAGATAGGGTACAGCAGCTTAACAGGATGTTTATATAGTAAAGCATTCTGCACTGAGAGATTTCCTTTACAAATGTGTCACATTCCTACACATCCAGCCATTATCAGTCCATATGTTCCAGGCCTACCATTTTATAAATATTTACACAGACAGGTGGTCCTGGAAAGATAAAGAATGATAGCCGCAACTTAGGAATTAATTGTTCATGTTATAGATAAAGAGAGTGACTCCTTGTGGAAAGACCTTGAAATATTTCTCCCTGGAATATTCTAGAAGAATGAACTTGGAGATGGTTTCCTGCTTTTATCACATATGTGTATACACACACACACACACACATATACATATATATGTATATATATACTTATACACACACATATATACACACATACGTATATATATATATACATATACATATATACATACACACACGTGCGTGCGTGTGTGTGTGTGTGTGTGTGTGTGTGTGTGTGTGCACGTGCGTGCGTAGTTGAGGCACTCAAATGTGACTCTCTCTGGAGAACCCTGAACCCATCCTTGCTTTGCATGTTAAGATTGCTTTTTCTTGCCTCATTCTCAACGCTTGTGTTTAAATCTGTATTAAAACCTTTTCTTTCCAAATCCAAATCTTGATTTAGGAAAGACTACATCTCATCAGAGAAGTAGTAGATAGGACCACGTATCTATTTTATAACTGTTCTAATAACTGGAAATTCTTTGGATCACAATGGTTCAACAGTTTCACTAATTCAGCCCTCCATTAGTGCTTGGTTATGGGCAGAACCACAGTGCCCGCAGCTCTCCTCTGTGGGGAAGGTCCTGCTCTATCTGAGTGGTAAGAGAAGATAACTTGAACCCTCACACTTTTTCATATGTCATAGGTAGGTCTAAGCTTTCTGTACCCTACAGCAGAAACCTAAGAAGCTATGCTTAGTGCTTTCAAATAAAGAGCAACTATCAGGCTGCATTCTCATACCCAGGCTGAAAATCGTGAGTGCACAATGTCACCAAGAAATAAACTGGCTGCAACAGGTTACAACTTGCAGACAAATCCTTTGTTAGATTAATTTGTTCTTTCTATCCTTAGGTGTTTCTGACATTACTTTAATTCAATGCCCCAAATTCATAGAGACTATGACCCATATTTATAAATAATAAAATGAACTATAATAAGATATATCTGTGTCTCATCACGATTAATAAATATAATGCAGTCCCAAAAACATTGAAAACAGATTTGATAAATATATGCATGTATGTGTTTATGTTTACAACTTAATTCTAGTTTTACATGTAGAGAATTTAAGAGCTGAGAATAGGTGGGAATTTTGAAAATGGAAAAGGAGAAAAAAGAAGGGAGAATCTATGTAATCAAACATTTAAACCTATCAAAGAAGTTGAATCTGAGTGAATGCAGTTCCTTATGGGAATAAACAAAGTAACAAATTATGATGGTTATTCTTGGCTGTCAACTTGCATGCATCTGGAATTAACTAAAACCCAAGCAGTTGGGTATAACTGTGAGTGATTTTTCTTGAATAAATCATTAAATGGGAATAACTAACTACCTTTGATCCAGATCTTTTGAGGTGGGAAGATCTACCTTTACAGTGGCAGTCTCTATAAAAATAAAGGATTCATTCTATCAGTTCTGTTCCTCCAGAGAATCCTGACTAATACACATATGGAGCATAATAAATGAAACAGAAGTCATTCTGCTCACCAGAAGGAACTAAAAATTATTCAGAGTTGGCATTTAGGATAAAGGTAGAAATAAATTCATAATTCTACATTAGAGAAAAAATATTAATTAAAAGATTAGTATTAAGATATTTAAAATTCAAGAGTAGAAATATTTACTGATGAAATAAGCATACTGTAAGTAGAGACCATAAACAGGTTAATTATTATAGTTCAAATTTTCTTTAGAAGAAAAGTTTTTTTTTCCTGGAAAAAGTTATGTTTGAGACAAAGTTGATGGTCAAAAAACAAAGTAGAAATGTTTATTTGGAATCCCCAAATAAAAAATCAAACTCATTTAAAAATATTTTTAAAAGACCTCATGCTGCCAATTAAGAAATATTTCTATTTTATGAGCCTACAGCACAATTACATAACTTCACCCTACCCTTTATTCCCTCTGACCCCTCTCATATGCTCCTTCATGCTCTCTTTTAACTTCATAACCTCTTTTTCATTAATTGTTGCTATAGATGTATAAGTATATTCCCAAATACATAAATATACCCTGCTCAGTCTCTAATGTTAT